ACCATAAAACTCAAAGATATTTGAAAAACTTCTCAACGTATCTATTTCAAGTCCCTGAATTCTTTAATATTTGTAATCCATGCTTGTTCAATTATAATTTTAAAATATATTATAACCATATCACTCATTATAATCATTGATATGCTTATTATATATATTTAAAACATCTTTTCTGAAATTTTATGTTCTCCAAAAAATAACTTTTTAGTAACTTCAAAATATCTCTATGGACCTCTTAGCAGTACTATGGTAAAACCAAAATTGCATCTTCAAGTAGCAAGTGCCCAAGCCACACCATTCCTGATCAAAGATAGAGCTGACATCCAGGGAATTCCCTAGAGGTCCAGTTGTTAGGACTCCACGCTTCCACTGCTGGGAGCCCGGTTAGATCCCTGGTTGGGGAATTAAGATCCCGCAAGCCACGTGGAGTAGTCAAAAAAAAAAAAAAAACCCAAAACGACAGAGCTGACATCCAGTCTTATAAACAGCTCTCTTCCACTCCTTGTTCCTATTTTAATATGCCAACCATTACTTCACTGACATCCCAGAGTTTTCCTGCAACAGATTCATCCATAGCTTTGGGCAATAGTTCTTCCTCTTTACAGTCCCCAAAGTACTTTCCTGACACACCTTCTACCTCAGGGGAAGAGGCTAAATAAATCGAAGTCTGGGCACCTTCTAGCGGAGTTTTGAAAAAAGCCCATGTCACCAAATTGAAAAGTGGTTTGACTAACAGTGGGATGTGTATGTGCCTCCCCAGGTTGGTCCGCACCATGCCAGGGTGTAACACATTGACAGTGACATTTGTGCCTTCTAAGCGGCGGGCTAGTTCTCTGGTAAAAAGGATGTTAGCCAGTTTGCTCCGACTATAACAGAATCTTTTATTATAGTTTTGTTCACTGTTCAAGTCTTCAAAGTTGATGTCTCCGTATTTATAAAGTTTGGAGGTAACTACCACAATCCTGCTGGGAGCTGAACTTTTAAGGAGTCCAAGGAGAAGATTGGTGAGTAGAAAGTGCCCCAGATGGTTCACTCCAAACTGCATCTCAAACCCATCTTCAGTCTTCATATATGGGCACTGGAAGATGCCTGCATTGTTGATCAAAACATCCAGTCTAGGCTCTTCCTTCAAATGGCAAAAAGAGAATGGCAGAGTTATGAACACAGGCCTTAAATGTGCCTAAAATAAAATTTTAAACAATTCCTGCAAACTACTAAAATTCTAAAAAACGCCTCTATGAGTTTTCAACAATTGAGAGAAAAGAAGACGACGACAACAACAATGACTTGTGTGCCTGACCTGGTGCTTTTCATGTTATCTCATCTACTCTCAACAACTCTATAAGCAAACTGAAGCACCAGAGTTAGGTGATTTGTCCAGAATCACAGGGCTCCTAAGTGGCAAACAAAAACCTGAAGTTGAAATCTGACACCAATGGCCCTATTCTTAATTAGTAAGCTAGACTGCTTTTCTAATTGGGATTTTCAAACCATAGCTAGACATTCAATGTGAGCTAGAGAGTGGAACTATAGCAGAAGACAGGTCAGCATTGTTTATTCCCAGAGCTACTAGTATCAACACCAGGGGCAAGTTAGGATTCTTTTATTCTGTAATTTTCTAATAATAAATGTCACCATGGGAATGGAGCAACTCCAGGTTGTTTCCTTAAAAATGGGACAAGCAATAGAGAGGGTGAGGGATGCAAATTAATACTGGAGAGAACATCATGAATAAATCAACGGAACATTAAGAAAAATATTAAACAGGTAGTATAAACATATCAGAAACAAAACCATGAATCATACATACTAAGTCTCACAATAACAGCAAAGGAGACTTAACAGAGGAGGTCTGCCCAACAAATACCTTTAACCTCTATTACGACTCTAGAATTCACAGTTCTTTTTTCCCCGATATGAAATCTATCTCTTTCAAGCTTCGAGGAGCCCCCAACTTAAGAGATCTATACAGTCAGAATTTCGCACTTTGACCATATCCTCCTGCATCTTCCCAGATTAAAGTCCTAAAATTTAGACTGTGCTCAAAGGGAAGTCTTTTCATTCTTTACTTCATTTAGTTGGTTTTCCCTTGTCCCTTCCTGGCTCTGTCTCTTCTGATGGGCAGAGAAAAAGAAATGTACAACGTGTTCCAGGTGTAAAGACACAGTGATGACCCACAAATAAATTTGAGGTCAAATTTCAAATATCACTGGCCCTTTTGCCAAATGTAAGTGAATAGAAGAATGTGTTAAATTTCACAACTGTTATCAAAGCCTACCTGTCAGTGGATTAACTATTTCTCATTCTGTGTGTCTCAGCACCTTTTGCTTTTCCAATAGTCAACTTCAAAAAGAAGGCAAAAGTTCACCCGTGGGGGAAAGAAAGGAGTGTTCTTTTCAGTAATCCTTTGGAAGAGTTTCCTGTATTAATCATTTCTGAGCCATCATTCTTTGCTGGGCTTGTGTTATTTTAAGACTGTATCATTTACTGTTTTTTAAATTCTAGAAGATAAATGACATAAATACCAAGAATACCAACCTGTGGGAAATTTACACTTCCTTTTTTTTTTTTTTTAATTCTGGTTATAGTCACTGAACTACTGAACTTCAGAGCCAGGAAGGAACTTAATACATACTTAGAAGCAAGGACAACTTAGTTATCTCTTTATCTCCTTAACTTTTAATTGGTTCTGTCAAGTGGCCAAAGTAGTGAGAAACCATAGGTATCAAGGAATAAGTATACCCAGTCCCATCTACATTTTTAATGAATAGGAAGATCCACTTTTGATTCTCCCAACATCTCTTGTACACTATTACTTCTTATTTCTAAACCTGATAATGAAATACTGGTCATAACGGCAAAACAAACCAAAACTCTCTGGATCTGCAACAGCTCCCCAACTGTGTATCGAGTTGCCCTAGAGAGTCACAAGGAAACTCTCAGGGTGATTTGGAGTATTTTAAATTTTCGAGGGAAACAAAATGATACTCTGCTCAACATCTCAAAAACTACCAAGCTCCAAGTGGTTCACGCCTTCAACATTTTATTGTGCTATATTCCTTTTCATGATGTCCTACCTTTGCAAAGCTGAGTGTTTAGTAGTTGCTGCAATGAAATGCAAGTACAATGTCAAAAGTCAACATAGAACAGAAATGAGGGTGGCAATGGTCAGTCTGATTCCAAAGTTTGACAAGCTGGTACAGTGAACAACAGATGCACATTTCCCATTAGTATACTTATGGTTATAATAATTATGGTTATTGAAAAATGAAATAAAAATCTTTTCTTTCATCTATGCTATGTGTATTTTTGTTTCAAACAGTTACTAAGTTGTTACATAAATACTTATTAAGTTGTTTGGATCTAATTGCTTAATGAATAAGCTGTTAGATATTTGTTTGGCCTAAGGGCATCATGAAAAAAATTAGAACGTTTGGGAACTTCTACTCTAGACTCAGGAGACTCCTTTTCATATAGGCTCCTTTTCTATGCCAGCTAATTTTAAACATCACTCTTCTGAATGCCCTCTTGCAAGTCACCTCTGCAGGGAACCCTTCTACCTCAATTTCAGCAGAGGACATCCATTTCAGTGTAATATCTACTATCTAAACAAAGAAATCCTCTACCTCACTGGCAGGCAGCAGAAGTACTGTATAGGGGTTAAAAGCAAGGGCTCTAGAGACAGTTCGTGGGCAAATTACTTAGCCTACCTATGCCTTAGTGGCCTTACGTTGTAAAATGGGGATAACAATGCCTACCTCACAGGGTTACTGTGAAGACTGGATGACAAGAGCAGTCAAAGTCACTTTAATTTCATTAAAAGTTAAAAAAAAAAATCTGAAATGCTTGGAACAGCTCCTGGCACACAGGAAACTTTCAATAAGTGTTAGGTATTATATTATTTTTATTTCTGTCCCCATTTAGAGCACATGACCACTGGCATTCCAAGCTCCAGTCTATTTGGAAGTTAGGCCAGAGTATGGTTAAGAATACTGCTCATGAGTTCACTGGTGGCAGAAAGCTAAACTTCCTACCCTAGCAGGGGGGGAAAAATTGCTCCAAGGTCCTTGTCTAGCAACGTCCCCTATGTGCTCTCAGGCTCTTTGAGAGATGGCTTGGTGCACATTCACTTTGGACACAGGAAAAACAATCCAGGGACCTGGCGGATCTCCTCCTGAGCTGTCCTCACATGGCAAGAGGAAATGTTCAGAAACTCGTTTATTTTTCTCTTGGGCTCATTTTCTTTCTCAACATTCTTGGAAGACAGAAGACTGTCCTACCAATTTTTCCAGCCTTCAATTCCCAAGCCGCCCGAATCATTCCCAAGGTCACACCCCCTCCCTCGACTGTGGGCGGTCCCCTCCCCGGCTCAGCCCCCGGCACTCCAGGCCCCGCCTCGCCCGCCGAAGCCCGTAGCCAGTCCCCGATCTCCGGCAGGTTCCCAGAGCCCCACACCTGGAGCACCTCCTGACAGAAGGAGCGCACGGAGCGCAACGAGGCGAGGTCCAACTCCTTGACGACGAGCTCGCCGGCCCCGCTGGAGTCAGGCCCCAATTCGGGGCCCCCAGCCTGGCAGATCTCGCGGCGGAGCTGAACCGCCGCCTCCTCGGCGCGTGTGCGGTCCCGGCAGCCCATGATCACTCGCGCCCCCAAGCGCAGCAGCTCGGCGGCTGTGGCGCGGCCCAGGCCGCTGTTCGCACCCGTGATCAGCACTGTCTTCCCGTGCATGAGGCCGGAATCCCCGCCTCGGTGCAGCCGCTTGACGCTGGGCCCCACGAACCTCCGGGCCGCCAGCCACAGGGCCCCACCCAGTGCGGCCAGTAACGCCGCCACCGTAGCCACTGCCATGGCCGCCCGGGCCCCGGGCCCACCTGCGCCTGCGCGAGACTTCCGGGGTCGCCGCGCGCCCGGGTCTGAGCTCGCCCTCCTGTACGCAAAGAACGCTGGGGCGCGGCCTGTCATCCCCTGACGGCGGCGTGGGGCATGCTGGGACTTGTAGTCCCCCTTCCGAGGGCACCTGATTGGTTAGTAGAGGACAGCGCTCTGTGTGGCTCCTCGGTGGAGCCGGCTCCCAGCCTGAGAGAAGGGTGAGCACGGCCCCGGGTTTTCAGGCTCCTGAGGTCCCTACCCATGGAAATCCCAGAGTGGTGGTGGCCTTCCCCGTGGAAATGCCTAATGAGTACTTTGAATTTACAAGTCTCTTTATAGGCTGCTTTACAAATCCCTCACTTCGGGGCTGGCTTAGTGTGTTTTCCGTTAAGGGCACCTGGGACTTTTTAACCCTCAGTTCAGTTTACCTTCATCCTCTGGAGAATGGTCCCTGCCGAACGAAAGTCTGAAGAGAGGCTCTTTTTTCCCACAGCTGACGCTAAAAACTTAGCGACATGAATCAGTTAGAAATAGAATGGACCAGTGGTTCTCAGACTTTAGCGTTGCATTGGAATCAACTGCAGGACCTGTAAAAACAGAAATTTCAGGGCCCAGTTTCAAATTCATTAGAGTCCAAAATGGAACCTGAGAATGTACATTTCTAACAAGTTCCCAGGTGATCCTGATGCAGGTGATATGGGGACCACTGTTTGAGAATGTTAGACCATTGTGGCCTTGATCCATATATAAAAAGGCATTCTCAAATGGTCTTATTTGACAGTGGTAGAGATACACTGGGAAAAGCGTGGACTTACTGTATACATAGACTTCTGAGCAGGCTCATAAGCGTCTTCCCCCTTCCCTCCCGGAGAATATTAAATGTAACAAGGAAGGGAATGTGCTTTTTACACTGTAAAATGCTTCAGAAATGTCAGGGGTTATTGCCACAGGGATCCAGCTTCAAGCTGCAAACTTCAAACTTTAGATCGAGCTACTCTTTTTTTTTTTTTTTTTGCGGTACGCGGGCCTCTCACTATTGTGGCCTCTCCCATTGCGGAGCACAGGCTCCGGACGCGCAGGCTCAGCGGCCACGGCTCACGGGCCCAGCCGCTCCGCGGCACGTGGGATCCTCCCGGACCGGAGCACGAACCCATGTCCCCTGCATCGGCAGGCGGACTCTCAACCACTGCGCCACCAGGGAAGCCCAGACCAAGCTACTCTTAAGTCGTCATACGTTCATCTACTCACCCATCCAATACATGCCAGGGCCTATGCCCTGCGAGAGTCACGAAGAAATGGGGCACCATTTCTGCCCTCAGGGTGCTTACTGTCTGGTCCAGAGACCCCTCCTGCCCCAGCCCCCATTCTAGAATCTTCAGGACAAGAGAAGAGACACACAACTTCTGTAGTTTGAAATAAACTCCCTAGATGATTTTGATAAACTCTCCTCCACTCCCTTGTATTTGGGAAGGATATAACATGCAACAAAAAGGCATAGTACAAACAGCCAAGAGGTCGAATGCCAGAAGAAGGATTCTTATGAGTACTGAGAATGGAACTCAGAGGTGGGAGGAGTACTCTCACTGAGGATTAGACAAGGCACCAGGAACAGAAATCATGGTGGGGGGGGGGCCTTTATTCTATCCTACCTGTAACTTGAAGCTGCCTCTCACACTCACTGAGCCGGGAGCACGTTTCCTCTCTTCCTTTCTCTCCGTCCACATCTTTCCTGTCCTGCAAAGCCCACCTCCGTTCTCTACATTTCCTGACCACTTCCAGCCCACACAGATTTCTGCTTCAGCCTTGTGTGTGACCCTCACTTGGCACTGAGGACAACCAGCCCTCTCGTGTTGGCTGTTTGAGCTTGCACATTTGACTTCTTCTAAGGGATTGTTAAAGGATGGGATTATGTCTGAGTCTCTCTTGTGGCCTTTATCTTGGGGAATGCATAGAAAACAGTAGGTACTCAGTAAGTGTCATGACTGATATATTTTGGACTGCCTTACATCAAATTAGGAAGCAGATCAAAAGATGTGTGTCAGCAGTGGCATGCTTTAACTAGAACCCGGGTGGAATATGTATATGTGGGTGAGGTAGAGATGGAGATGGGATGAGAAGGAGCAAGACAGGGTGTGAGGAAGGGAAGATAGACAGCATATAGCTTTTTCTTTTTTTTTTCAGCATATAGCTTTTGAAGTGAGATCTAAATTTGAATCTTAGTCCTACCATTTATTACCTGCACATCCTTGGACAAGCTACTTAATCTTTTTGAATTTTAGGTTCTTCATTGATTAAAAAAAAGGAAGGTAATAATATTGATATTATGTCACGAAAGTTTGGTTTGATGAGAAAATGAGGTAACATCTGAAAATAACCAGCTTGTTGTTCCTAATGTAGTAGATTATGGTTAATAACCAATCAATGTTTTTTTTTGAAAACAAAACAAAAATCACAACAGAATGACAACAATGAAGGCTAGGATACTACACTTACTTCATGTCACATTTTGAAGTGGTAGCCAAGGCTTTTTTTCCCCATATAAACATTGGACCTACCTGCTGGGCCCAAAGCCAGAGACTTCAAATATGAAGCCTTGTAGTCCAAAGGCAATGAACTCAGGAAATAAGCTCCAAAGAACCCTTCCAGGAGGTTCTGTCTGGAGCTCATCTTAGATGAAAGTAACCTGTATGAATAACTGATTTATTTCTGAATAAGCAATGTCAAAATTGGAATACTCACACAGGTAGAGTGGTATTTTCATTTTTGCATTGATTAAAAGGCTGTTCACAGAGGCAACAGACTAAAAAGCTCCAGTTTTCAAGTGTACTTAACCCTTCTCTTTCCACTTGTGAAGACCCATTATTCTATAATGATGATGGGTAATGATTCATTCTAGCTACCAACATCCATAAATGAGCAATGCTTTGTAAAACTAAGTAGGCTTCTGACATAGTCCTTTAAGCATTCAAGAATTCAAGTTCTAAAATTATTCTAAAGAGTCATCATTATAACTTACACACAGAGGTAGTTGCAATGTCATCAACAGCATTGACAGTTCCAAGAGAAGTAGCTTGAAGGTAACTTGAGAGTTCAAAACGTTTTAAAAAACTCAAGAGAAAACCTTTCCAAATGAACAAAGTTCTGAGAAATCTAATCTACTGAATCTACTGAAATACCTAATTGCCCTAGAGATCCACAAGATGTGGCTTCCGTAATACCAGACCCACTGCTTTATTTCCCCTTCCCATCCCTAATTGTTCTCTTTTTGATTAATTCCATAAGGTACATGAGCTGTGATGCTGCCAAATTTCTGTGCCCCTTCAATGTGGAACATGTGGTCATCAAAGAAGAAGAGGTGGGGCCTTATCTTCACCAAGATGGGACCTTTGGGGGCTCCAGCAAGGAAAAGAGCTTCGTCTATCTCTAGACCCCAGTGGCGAAGGGTTTTCAGCACGCGGGCGCCTGAACTGGCTGCGCTCCTAGCTGTAACCAGGTAGGTCCTGATTGGGCAACATAACCGTTCGTCTTTGGCATAAAACTTCTTTTGCCGTCTGCCTAAATCTTCCAGAAAGCCTTTCAAGGGACCCTGTAAAAGGAACATATGTCACAGCTGTCATCCAGTGAGCCAAAGGAAGTGAACGCTAAAAAAGCAGATGTTTATAAGAACTTATAATACTGCATGAAACATGCAGTATAGACCAGGGATACAATGCTGAAACTCCTTGCATTTATGTGATTATATTTCCTTGTATGGAACCATCCTTGCCTTCCTAGAGTAAAACATAGGATGGCCATATAATTTATCATCTAAACAAACACAGATATTTTAAGAGTGAAAGAAGCTTCTATAAAAAGTTGAACCAGGGCAACAGACGTAAACTATCCATGGCAAAATGGGATACTCTGAAAGCTCAGTTAATCAGCAAAAGCACTCCTCTTTTGATTTACTTTTTGTGAATTGCACATTTTAACATTATAAAGTGTACTTTTTTATCTTGTTCAATTCCTTCTTGGCTTGAATCCAGTCTTCTCTATATTTACAGTTACTTTATATATCATCACACTTTTATCTTCAACCTTTCTGAACACTTACTTTTAGCTGTACCTCTAGTACAGAACATAGAATTGGATTTTGCTAAGTGATACAATCTGAAAGTCTTAATTTTTAAAACAAAAGCTGAGTTTTAGGCCATTTCTATTTATTGATACCACAGATATATGTGATAATGGTTCTGTATTACAATTTGTATTTCATTTTTCATGTTTAAAGATTTCAAAAGATTGTTCACTGTCTTTTTTATTTGAACATGTGTGTATGTGTGTTTCTTCTAACATTTAGGAAGGTTTGTATTATTTCCTTCTATTGGTTACCTTTATAACTTTTTATAGTACCTTCAGACCTCTATTTTTTTTAAATCCAGGATCTATTATTTTTTATAATGAAAAATAATGAAATTAGGGGACTTCTTCACCTTTCTCCTATCCTCTATTTTTTCTTCAATCATTTGATTTTAACTGTTTCATCTTTCTCAGTGTTTGCATTTGAATTATTAAAGATTCTTATATTTCTGTCTCTCAGCTTTACATTTTATCCTTTGATCAGCTATTGTAACTGAAGATATCAGTACACCTACTCTTCCTTATAACTTTTTCCTCCATATTTTTCCAGTTTTTAATAGTTAAATAATTTCTACATTGTTAAGGCATATAATATGTGCTTTCTTTTCTGTCACTCTAATCCCTGCAGTTGTTTTAGTTTTAGACCTATGGTTAAATATATTCTATGTCCATTTGTGCCTTTATGTGTTTGTAGTCACCTACATATTGGCCAAAATGTGTCCTCTTGTATTAGTTTTCTCAAGAATATCTTATGGAAATAATAATCCCTGAGAATATACTATGTTCTTAACTGTTGATCTGTTTCCTTTTTACTTGAATGAGCTTTTGACTGGATATAGAATCTGTGATTTATGTTTCCTCTCCACATGATCTTATAAGTAGGGCTCCACTGTGTTTTGCTACTGAGTGCTGCTGTGGGGAGGACTCAGGACAGCTTGATTTTCTTTTCCCCACTTGTGTGTGCAGGGTGCCCAAAGAATTATTTCTTTATCTTTGAAGCCAAATAATATTACTAGGGCATGTCTCAGTCATGATCATTCTCTTCTATTTCCCTGTAGTATAATGTGGCCTTTAGTTTTTAACCTTTAATAGTTTAACGTATCCATTAAAATATTCTGATAATTCAGGATGTTTTCTTGACTTATATTTTGATATGTTTGCATCTTTATATTTACCACACACAACCCTATCCTCCTACCCCCATAACATAATTTCAGTGTTTTCTTCAGGTATTCTAATTTTGCATATGTTGGATTTTCTTTACCTAGGACCTATTTCTGTCATTTTTCTCTCTAAAATATTATTTTTCTATTTGCTTATTTCCAGAGTTCTACCATTTAACATTTTATCATCTCTTCCCTGATTTGGGGGATTTCCACTTTATGACCCAACTTTCTTTTAAGTAAATGTTTAGTCACAGTTTTTACCTATACTTTGGCAACTGTTTCTAGTGAGAGTTCTTCATCTGTTATTAGATTTTGCTCTTCTGTGTCTGCCTTTTTCTCATAGTATCTTTGCATATGTTCTGTGCTAGTTCTCTTTTTATTACTTATCTCTGAAGTAGATTAGTTTTCCTTGGAAAAATTAGAGGAATTCTGGGAAAAGGTCATGGATAGTATTTTAATATTGACTTGTTTTCACAATTCAGAAGCTCGCTTCTTCTCTGCTGTCATGGAAACCATTTTCCACAAACATGGCTTATCTATGTGATCATTTGTTTAATGTTGCTTTGTCTAAGGCTGCACATATTAGAAAAAAACAAATAAAAAGTCACATAGGTAAAAAAATTATAACATATTATTGTTATTACTTTTTTGGCCACAGAAACAAAGTGGGGGGCAGTGACTGTTGGCAGAAGCCACCCTGCTCACAGTTTGATTTTGAAACACAGAGGAACACGGCTCTCCCTGATGCTTTTGAGTAATTTTCAAAGAGAATAAATAGGGCCTGGTCAGTTTATATCGCCATGTTTAAACCAGGTACCCATATCATTCTTTCTTTCTTTTGTTTTGGGGTATGTTTAACAGTTTATATATTTGTACAGTAGTGTAAGTATGTAATTTATCAAGAAAAAATATAGAAACATGAAGGAAAGTTACTTGAAAATACCTTTTTGAGGAGTTCTATGATTTAGAACATTTGGATTGCCTTGGATGTAGAAAGCTGGAAAGACTGTTACTCCTATCCTAACAACAAGAAAAAGCCAGATAATCTGAAACATCATAATTTTTCTTGAGCCCATGAAAGAGCTGAGGTAGCAGGGCAACCAACTAACATGAAACCTAATGGAAAAAATTATGGAAAAATCTTCAAGGACAGATGGAATTCAAGAACTGGCACATCTTTGGCAGAGCCCTAAAGGAAGATATACCAGACGCCATAGAAGCAGGTATGAAAAATTCAGGTAATTTTTAAAAACAAATTGGAAAAGGACAAGTATGGGCTAATGAGAGAACATAGAAGCCCTGGAAGCCACAGACACAAGAAATGCACACTGTTTTACAGGATTTTTTTTTTCCTATGGATTTCACTAGTTTCTTATGAGAAGGACTGCAGACAGGGTGGAAAATGAAAGAATAGAGTCCTTGGTGATGCAGACGTGGAGGAGAGGAGCAGCTGCCACTGTGAGAAAAGACTAAAGATCTACCTTGTCCCATACTTCCTAGGGGACAAAAGTATTAAACTGTTGGAAGAACGGCTTCAAACACTGTTACCCCCAGGGAACAGGTAAAGATCTACTGCTATGGGGGAAGGGGAAGGAAAAATCCTCCACCCTTGGGAGAGGGGCAGGAGACCCAGACCATTAGATATCACCTCTATCACTGGGAGAAAGGTGAGATGAATGATATAACTTCATCCTTAAGACCTAGGGGGGTACACACTTAGATTTAGACTAACCTGGGACAACAGAGAATGTCCCTTCCTCTCACATCACCACCTGAGCTGGCAGAGACAAACAATAACATTTGGGAGAAGGGTAACAATGTGGAGGCCACCCATGAGGCATGGACACAAAGAGAAGGCCTACAGCTGAAAATGGAAAAGGAATGTTATGAAAAATCCTTCAGTACCCTACCAGAGGAATTTGAAGCCTGTGATGAAATGAAAACAGTAGCAGCAACAAAATGCTTACCTAGTTGAATGCCTGATTTGGTGATTCAGTCAATCACACTAATTGCTAGCAGAAGAGGAGCCATGCCTATTACCAGGCAAAAATACTATTTACCAGAGCCTATACTGTCTACAAACTATGATTAGAAATTAATCAAAGATTTATGAGACTACAATAAAAATAAATTAAAAGAGCAATTAACTTTCAAGAGAAAGTAATTAACAGAAGACGCAGTGATGACCTAAATGTCATAAATGTGAGAGGAAATTGAAAATAACTCTGATTAATATCTTAACAGCTGTATTAAAAGGTGGATGACATACATGAGTAGACTAGTAATTTCAACAAAGAGATGGAAAAGATAAGGGTTGAATGGAAATGTTAGAAATAAAAATTGTGGTACAGAAATGAAGAATGCTTCTAATGGGTTCATTAATAGAGCCAACATAGCTAAGAAAAGCATCAGTGAACTTGAAGATAGGTCAGTAGAAATTACTCAAGCTGAAAATAAAGGGAAAAAAATAGTGGGGAAAAAAAGAACAGGGCATTGAAGTACTGTGGAATACATATACACACACCATATTCAAACTGCTGAAACACAAAGAAATATAGAAAATCTTGAAGGCAGCCAGAGAAAAATAGACACATTACTTACAAAGGACCAAAGATAAGAATCTCAAACAATTTGTTTTCAGAATTTATGCAAGTCAGAAGACAATGAATGGGTATCTGTAAAGTGCTGAAATAAAAATAGGGTAAATGCAGAAAGCTATAGCCACTCAAAGTAAAACATTTTTCAAAAAAGGAAAGTAAAGTGTTTTTCAGGAAAAAAAAAAAAAACTAAGAGCCTTTGGTAACAGCATATCAGTTCTATATGAAATGTAAAAAGATGGTCTTCTGGCACAAGGAATAAGATACCAGGGAGAAACCTAGATCTACACAAAGAAATGAAGATTCTTGGAAGTGGTTAAAATGAAGATGAATGCAAAAGACATATTTTTGTCTTTTCCTTATTCACTTTAAAGATAACTGACTACCCAAATAAACAATAGTAGCAGGGTATTATGAGTTTATAGTATAGGTGAAAGTAAAACGAATGCCAATATCACAAAACATGGGAGGGAGGAATTGAGAGTATACTGTTGTAAGGTCCTTACACTGTACATGATGTGGCATAATATTGTTTGAAAGTAGACTGTGATTAATTGATGTTGTATATTGTAAATCCTATGGTAACCACTGTAAAATCTAAAATGAGTAATAAATCAATAGTGGAGATAAAATGGAATCCTAAAAGCATACAATCTACACAATAAATTCAAAAGCAAAAATAATAAAAGGAAAAAGAAACTAAA